CACACACACACACACACACACACAGACACACACACACACACACACATACACACACACACACGACAAAAAAGCCGTTCAAAACACAGTGGCACGCCTCCCGCTCCTCCGCATGTCACCTTCTCCACCCGTTCTTCTCCTGCCACCCCGTGCTCCGTGCCCACGTCCTCCTCCCTGCCCGACTGCTCTCCCTTGCCCACTTCCTCCTCATTCGGCACCTCATGGTCCACCACATCCTGGTTCTCGTCACGCTCGGCCCCTTCCTCCTCCTGTTCGTTGTCCTCCCTCTTCTCCTCCTCCTTCCGCTCCACCTCCTCTTCCCACTCCACTTCCTCCCGCTCGTTGTCCTTCCGCTCATCGTTGCACGGAAGGAGGAGAAGTTGGAGGAGGAGACAGGGGAGGATAACGTGCACAAGCCTGGTCATCATCCTCCCACCCCTCCTCCTCCTCCCCCTACTCCTCCCGGTTGTCATCCACCCGCTCCTCTTTCCCGCTCTTCCTCTTGTTGGTCATCCTTTCTCCTCCCAGTAGTCGTTCGCTCCCTCCTCCTCCTGGTGGTCATCCTCCCCCCGTCATCTTCCCGTAGAGGAACCCCTACTCATTTTCCCATTTGTCCTCCTCCTCACCCTCCTCCTCCTGTTGGTCATCGGTCCTCCTCCCGCTCGTGTATACAGAAGATTAGCATGCCCCCGTGCACGAAAAAAGAAAAGATGTTCAATCAGAGGGAATGTATCTGGTGCATAAAACTGTCCGGAATCCGAATATGTGTTAAATGTCGAGAAGGTCCTGCCCCTCATCCTCCTCCCGAGTTTCCCCAAGCTCCCCCTTCTCCTCCCGGTTGTCGAGCCCTCCCTCTTTGTCCTGCTCCTCGTGATCCTCTTCGTTCCACTCTTCATCCTCCCACTTCTCCTCCTATTCGCCTGAGTCCCCCCAAGCTCCTCCTCCTACTCCCAGTCGTTGTCCTCCCCTTCTCGCGGTCGTCGTCCTCCCCGTCCTCGACCCGCTCTTCTTCCTCCTCCCGTTCCTCCTCCTGTTGGTCATCTTAAACAGAAGGCCCTCATTGTGCAAAATGAAATGAGAATGAATCCTCCGGCAGAACATGGAAAGATACACCGACATATTTTTTTGTCATTTGTGCATGTAGCGAGTCATCGAGCGAGGCCCCATGTACTCGTTCTGCGTGCTATGTACTTCTATTCGAACATCCGGCGGGTTCAGCCAGCGCACGGAAGAGATCTCAAAAATTCCCAGTGCACCACTGCGCCATGGAAGTTCCCAGTGGGTCCGCCGACGATCCGAAAACCAAAAGAGGGCCATTTCTATTCGCACTTGCCACTAACCCGAAAAGAAAAAGTTCAAAAAATGCTCCCCCAAGAGCCCCACACCCGTCCTGCGCCCTTTCCCAACACAGGGTGGAGTCTTGCGTCGGCCCGTTACACAAGACCCGCTTCTGCTTTATAAGGATTCTAGATATAGAATAGGAAGGAAGGAAAAAAAAAAGACAACCGGCACCTCAGTTACCAGACGAACCTCTTCAGTGTTTGTTACTTCTTCTTTTTCTTTTTCATTTTGCCCACCCATCAACATGAAAGCCACATATAATCAGCCCACTGCAGTAGCCTTCTCTTGCAAGAGAGCAAAATCATTTAGTGATCAAATCCTTCGTAGTTCGTCCAGTTTTCTTGAGTGTGGGTCTTTAGTCATCACAAGTGACCGAATCCTCCATAGTCCATCCAGTTTTCTTGTGTGTGGGTCTTTACTACTCTTTAGTCATCACGACGATTCACAAGTGATCAAATCCTTCGTAGTCCATCCAGTTTTCTTGTGTGTGGGTCTTTAGTCATCACAAGTGATCAAATCCTTCACAGTCCACCACAGTCTCCACCACCACCGTTGGGCAAAGAGGTGAGTCTTCATCCAACAGTCTACCCCAGGACAAACTGTCGGGGTTTAGCTTTGCGATGAGTCGGCGAAAGTCCGGCGGAACAGTCTGTCACAGTCACCTTTTTTTTTCCTACAGTGATTATCAGATACGCACGCACACACACACGCACACACACACACACACACACACACACACACACACACACACACACACACACACACACAGACATGTGTGGTTTCACTCAGTTGACCCGACTTTGCAGACACAGAGATTCGATCCCCAGACCTGTGCCCTAACCCTTTACATTGAACCTGTGTGCTGGGTGAGATTCGATCCCTAGACCTGTCCTACACCTGTACATAGACCCAGTGACCCGAGAAGGATTCGATCCGTAGACCTGCCCTACGTCCTAGGCTAGTGTGTAGGTCGGATAGGAGGACTTGATCCCTAGATCTGTAGATTAGGAGTTAGGTCTGTTACCGTTAGGCTTAGGAAGGCCTGTTCTAGAAATCTCTATCTGAGTCTACTGAGGCCCAGAGTCTGTCTGTAAGTCTGCAGGCTCTAGAAGGTCGTAGGTCCCTGTAGGCCAGTCCAGTCAGCAAGTACCAGGGGTAGGGGCTGCACGTGGGGAAGGTTCTGGAGCACACTGTGGGTTTCACACGTTTTGGCCCAGAAGGCCAAACGTCTCGAAACTTCCTTGGGCCACACGTTTTGGCCCAGGGCCACACGTTTTGAGGCAGGCCCGGGTACCTCCAAAGAAGTATAAATAAAGAGGCAGCGTCCAGCCATTCATTCATTCGCCTGTGAGCCATGCGGAAGAGATGCCTTGGTATCTTGTGCGTGGAGGTCTGCAGGTGCCCGGAGAGGAAGTGGGCTGTGAAGAAGACAGTCGCCATAGCGAACCAGCGAGGAAGACACCGGCAGCCATAGCTAGAAGGAGGACACGACGGCGGCCATAGCCGCCCAGCTGTTGGTGTAGACAGAGTGTACAGAGTGTGAGTGGCTGTGCAGCGTGGACATTCAGGGTGATCCTCGTACGTGTGTGCATGCGAGAGTGTGGGAAGTGAGGCTGGTGGTAGAGACGGTGTTCGGCGGCCATAGCCACAAGTTGTACAGCTGGTTCAGATTGAGTTTAATAGAAGTTTATTGTTGTTTCTGAGTTGGAAGAGTTTGATTTTGCCATCGGTTCTCAAGTGTGCATATTGAAAGCAAGTCCAGAGTTGAGTCTGATTGCACATGCACACACACACACACACACACACACACACACACACACACACACACACACACACACACACACACACACGTGCATGCACACACACAAACACGTGCATGCACACACACACACACACGTGCATGCAGTGCCATGCACACACACGTGCACGAACACCCACACGTGCATGCACACACACACGTCACACCACAAAAAAAAAAAAGAGATGAGAAAACAGGGTGTGGGAGAAAGGATCTGAAGGGGGCAAAGGGCGGGGGGAGGAAGGTGTCACCTGAAGATTCAATGAATGAGCCACAGACTTGAACATGTGTAGCATGCTTTTGAATCGCAGCGTCAAGAACACATCGACTGGGCTCTTCGTGCCTGCATTTAATGCCTCCTCCATCTCCACGGCAGCAGACGACGAGGCCATTCCACTAGGAGGCCTGAGGATATACCTCCCATTTCTGTGCCCATGGGCCACATCAACAAATAATCACACCCGCACCCCCCAATAACACAAAAATCATCACCGTCACCGTCATCATCGCTGCATCCTCGGTCTCCGCCCCACACTGGACATCGTAACCAGAACTGCTCCCATAGCCAAACCCACAAAGTCAACGCAACAGCAAACAACTCATCATCATTCATTGTCATGAAAACACTATCACCATATTTTTCCTCCTCCTCCTCCTCCTCCTCATCATCATCATCATCATCATCATCATCATCATCATCATCACCACCACCACCACCACCACCATCATCATCATCATCATCATCAGCAGCAGCAGCAACAGCATTGTCATGATTACGACAATCAGCATAACTATAATAACCTCCATTAGCGTATGTATTGGGTCCCGCTCCACTACTCACAACATGCACAAAAGCTAGGCTACCAGCCGGGCTGCCCGGCCGAGCAAGGACCACAGAAGGTCCCAGCAAAAGAAAAAAACCGAAAATTGAAAATTCTGAAAAACAATATATGTTATGCTGCTTATGCATAAAAATAAGCTGAACAACTTTTGCCTCAAACTCTTTACCAATTCAAATTACAAAACATTTATTTATTTATCTATTTTTGGGCCCAGCCGGGCAAGTGGTCCCGGGCCACTGTCGTAAACTAGCACAAAAGACAAAAATAACGGTTGGTGTATCTTTCCATGTTCTAGAGGAAGATTCAATCTCCTTTTGCACATTTGGTGAGTAGTTTATTATTTCTGTTGTAAGGACCTGCCAAACACGGACTGAGACACACAGCTGATTTCTGAGTTTTGCCAATGGAATGTATCCCTTGCTGAGTTTTCCGCTTGTTGCTGAGTTTTCTAAGTCTGTGTGTGTGCGTGCTTGCTGGTCTGCATGCCTGTCTGAGTGCCTGTCGGTTTGAGTGTGTGTGTGTGACCTGCAAGGGCACTTGTTTGATCGGAACGGCACGTAGGGCCGGTACTTACCTGTGGCCGTGACATCGAGGGTTGCAGCGGGGAAAACGCTCCAGTGGCAGGGAAGGAGGCCCGCGACAGCAGAAAAACACTCAAGTAGCAGGTAGGCCGGTACCACACCAAGTAGCGGTAGATGTGTCAGTTACTCGAGGCCGAGCAGGAGAAGACAAAGTTCGCATTTTTAGAGGCCCAGAAGTTGTAGGCTACCTCTAGGCGGGTACCGGTCCAAGTAGTCTGAGTCTAAGACCTGTACAGGCAATATCAGAGTCTGCAATGATGTTTCCCTCCAAAAGGGAGGAGGTACCGGTTGGCCTAGGAAGTCACCGCCCAAGAGGCAAGCACGCCGCTATATCTCCTGGAGGAGCAAAGAGGTCTTCCTCATTCTACAGCGTGCAAGTTTGGTGACATACTGCTTGGAGCGCAGGCTGGAGCAGTGCTGCTGGGAAGGAAGGAGCGCCCAGCTCTCCACCTCGGCTATGATGGAGGAGCACGGGCTGGAGGAGGCCGCCGATTTTTTTTTTCAACGGCGCCCCACACCGCACGGCCCTCCGAGTTTTGCTTGTGGCAACAAAAACTTTCTGCAAGGCTGGGGCCGTGTACTTGCTGTTTAAGGTGCAGCCTCCGGAGGGAAATGTGAAAAAATATTGCCTCATTTCGGACTTTTTTCCTTCATTTTTTTATTATCAAACAGAACCTTTTAGTCGTGGCTCCTTTGTACATTCTGGGGAGCATCAGTACGGGCCTCCGCTCAGATCGTATGTACGATCTGGGGGGAATTTCTGGACTGCTCTCGCTGTCGATCTTCGAGAGGCGCGAAGCGTGCACCACTTCAGGCAGACCGAACGTTCATGAGTGTGACTTGGGTTGAAGAGTTGTAAGTTCTTTAAAAAAAGAAACCGTGCAAACACAATGGGCAGCAGCTTCAGCCGCAGCCTCTGAAAGCAGAAGGGGG